CATTATATTTTTTATTTTTAATTATAAATTTATTTTTAAGTTATAATTATCTTCTTCACATTTAAATCCCTAGCTGCTATAAATCCTGAAATATATTACCAAACAGTTTCTCAGGATTTAACAGGATTTAACATATTTAACATGATTTAACATTTGACATACCAAACAGCTTTCAGGATTTAACACATTTCAGATTTACTAAATTCGGATTTACAGGATTTAGTAAATCCCACTAAAGTTAAATCCCACTTGTTGCCAAACCATCCCTTAAAGCAGCTTTCTAAGTACAAAAAAATTAATTTTTATATTATAAATCTGCTTTCCTTTAGGATAGCTTTCTTACTGCTTTCTAAAGCAATTAAAAAGCTTCTTTAGAAAGCAGTAAGAAAGCTGTCCTAAACGAAGCCTTAATAGTGAGTCAAAAGTTTGCTTGAAGAATAATGCTTCGGAAAACTTTGATTGGTGGGCTGAAAAACCAAAGATTTCTTGGTTATGAGAGGCATTTCCTTTAACCAATCCTGCATTACTTGCAGTACCCATAATGACCCTCACAACCATTTGTTCTTTGATTGCCCACATTCTTTCTGCATAGCAAAATATTTTCTCAATTGGAAAAATTTTCCACTTGGTGTAAAACAGAGCTGCTTCGTGGATTTCATGTTCACTAATTACTTTTATTGCATCTCTTATTATAGATGATTAGCTATGTATGCTAAGCCCATATTGCTTCTTTTATCTTTAAATGAAGAATGGCATTCTGTCCATCCATACTTCAGATTTACGAAATTCGTTTCCTGTATGTATGCAGAGTTTTCGAATTCTGGCTTCTACTGTGTGCCAAAGGGAAAATTATGAAGTGTGGCGTCCGGATTTGTTCGGAGGCAAATCCGGAGGCGCCACGTCACCCGGGGTCCGGTTCATCCAGGTGATGTGGCGCGTCCGAATTCGCCTCTGGAAGATCCGGATACCGCACGTAAAAATCACTCAATTCTTGTTTCTGGATTCAGGTTGACGCTGGAGCATTTTCCAAGCTGCTGGCTTCTGTTAGAAGCTGGTGTAGTTAAGAGCTTTCTTGGCTTCTTTCTGCTTTTTTAACTTTCTGCATACGGAGATATGAAGATTCACAAAACCTAAGATCTCTTCACTCAGCATGGATAAATGAAAATAACTATAAAGTAAACTAAAAAAAATTATTAATGACTTCAGAAAATATGTCTATGAATTTCGCTAATGTTTCTATCAAGATCCATGGTGAATCAGATCATATAAATGGAGCTCTAATGCAGAGCTAGATAGAATATCAAAGAGATTGTTTTGAATCTTTTTATAATGTTTGATTATGATTCGAACAAGGTTCTAACGTGTGTAGAACCATGTTCAACTATGATTAAAACATAGCTGGAACAAGTGTTCAAACATGGTCTGGTACATGACCCTTTGATAGTAAAGTTATAAACTGGTCAGCTATTTGTTAAAGGCGAATTAAGTAGCATCATTCTTCTATTGTATGTAAGAGAATGAAAAGAAGATAGCTAATTCAGATTGATATTGATTGAAAAATAGAGCAAATGATTGATGGTACAAAAATAATTTTCCTTGAAATTAAGGCTTCGTTTGGGACGGCTTTTTTACTGTTTCTTAAAGCAGCTTTTTAATACTTGAACATATTGCTTTATTGCAATCAACAATCAAAAGTTACAAGCAACCAATCAACAAAACAAGAAACAAACAAAAACGGCCACTAAGAAAGAAACGAGCTAAACAAGTAATCTTCTGAAAGAATATTAAGAAATATTTTATGCAAGTACAAAGAATTCTCATCCCCATACTTCCACAAAAAATGTCCTCCAAACAATTTTTATTATTCTATTTATTATAAGAACAATTTCTTTGATTTGATGTAATTATTGAAGTAATGTTCTTGATTGGCTATGCATTAGTGCGTTGCTTATCATTCTGATATGTTATAGTTTTTGGATTGAATTATGTGGTGTTATCGCTATTGCTTTTCACTATGTTATATCTATCTTATAGTTTTCCATGTCATAACTATTGTAATAGCTCTCTGCTATATTATGGATATTGGATTATACTCTGTTTCATTGAACTTATATTTTTTGGAGTAAATTTTTATGATTGCACTATGATAAATCAACCTTTTAGTCGACTCAATCTGTTGTATCCACTATAGATAAACATTATGTGAATCTTGTCTGAACCTTTTGTCAGCCATATTCATACTATAATTGAGTTGAAATCCTGCTCAAACATGATATAAACAAGTTGAAACCCTATTCAAATATTTTTCAAAGAAGGTTTAATGTTTAAATCTTGCTTGAGTATGATTTCAGCCTTGTATGAACTCTGTTCTACCTTCGTTTGAATCAATGATGTTCACTACTTACCTTAAATGAATAGTGTGCATAATTCTCCAATAACTATATTATGGGTCATATAAAATTAAAATTTTCAAATTTAAATCCACATACAATAATATATATTGGTTCACAATTTTCCTCATGTCAATTAAATGTATCTACACATCAAAACTTTATTTGTGTTATGGGTTGAATAGTGAATAGTATTATTTCTCACAAAACATTTTAACTTCATCAATCAAGTCAAAACAGTTCATTTGGATAATAACTTGTTTACACGAGTAATAATATACTCCATAAAGAAAGCTACATACAAAATTATTTTTTGTCCATTTCTCATATGTCAACTAACAAAAAAGGAAGATTAGCTTCAACTTTTACTTGTAGAGAATATTAATTATTTCGCTAGATTGATTCAAAAGTGATGTGGCATGGGTTTATTTGTAAAGTTTTTTCAGAAATATAATATTAATTATTTACATATTATGTCAAAAGGATTGAAAAAAATTGCAATATTGCTCAATTCTGACTTGGCTTTATTTGGATTGGAATGGGAACATAATCTACAAAATTTAGTGATATTATTAACTTGTGTAAGATGGTGTCAACATTTTTGTCATTTATTTGAAATATTTTTTTTTCTTTTTTGCCCAAATTTATGATGAAATTCCATTATTTGGTTGGTATGTTAATGTCTTATATGTATATATTAGAAATCAATTTTGAGTATAAACTATTTACATTGTAAATATTTTTTTTTAAGATTTAAAATGTAAGGAAATGAAACAATGACTATGAGAAAATATTTTCTATTTACAGATAATCAAATTATAGGCTTCTGAAAAAAAAAAAAACATGAATCTTGACATAATTTTTAGATCTCAAAGCATTCAAATATTCTAACAAAAAACTCTCACTATATACTAGGCCGGCCATTGTAACTCATTTTTCAACAAACACATAGCCAAAATGAAGGTTTTAATTAAACAACCCAATGACATCAAGAATGCCCTAATTCAACTCTAAATAAACAAAAATCAATTATCTTATAAGTGTATTTGCAATCTTCATATGACCATTTGAGGGATTACACGACCACCAAATTTTGCATGTTTATAGTCAAAATAATCACATAGATGAGATGAACCCAAGAACCTAGGAATGTTTTGTCTTGAGCCAAAATTATACTAGGAATTGAAACATCATAAGATCATTTAAGAGACCACATATTTTATTGACATATTGGGTGTTTTTAATCAAAATAAGCTGCTAGATGAGCTAAATCATAGAGCATATGATCATCCAATTTTGACATTATCTAAGAATTAAAATGTCTTTTAAATTTTTTATAATCTAGGGGAATCAACTCCAATTGCCTGATGAAGTGCCCTAGATTATAATATGAATTACTATATGACCCTTATAGAAAAAAATTAATAGATTTTGCTTTTATCTATCAAGGAAGCTTGCTCGGATGCCCTGAAGGAAGTCACAGATGATTTGTGCTTATCCTCAGGTCAATGTGAGGGAATTGGCTAAGTTGAGATAGTTGAAAGATTTAACTATGTTTGATGTGCATGGTTAGGGTGAGCTGAGGGCCTTGAGTAGGCTCTATCTTTTAGTTGAGTTTAGATAAGGGATGGTTGTTGTTGTGTGTGTGTGTGTGTGTGTGTGTGTGAGAGAGAGAGAGAGAGAGAGAGAGAGAGAGAGAGAGAGAGAGAGAGAGAGAGAGAGAGAGCAAGTAATTTATAGCGGAGTCTAGGCATGCGGTGAGAATCGAGCTGTTGATTTGATAAAGAATCTAGAGGTCGCCCCCTATAAGACAAATTCTCTAATAAGCTCAAGCAAGTGAAACCTGTGATCTGGTCATGGCGATTCTCTCTCTAACTTTCGATCAAGTACAACACCCTTAATATTGCTCAGGTGAGTTCCTCCCATGAGTCCTCTTGAAAGGCGAGTTCCTCTATCGTGATCTGCTAGCCACCCGTTAAATACCTGAGAAGGTACGTGCGAATATAAAATAATAAACTTTTTATATCTATCATCATAAATAATTCAAACACACAATAATATATATACAAACATGTAATAAACATGAAAAATGATTTTCTACTTATTTTAAATTGAAATAATTTTCTACTTATTTTAAATTGAAATACATTATTTGCATGTGGAAACTAACTATGGATAGTACACGTAAGAGCACAGTTTCCTCTTTCCAAATAAAATATAAAAAAGGAGAGATTATTCCTTTGAAAAAAGAATATATAATGAATTTTTATTGCCTGAAATTAAGAAAAAAATTAAAATAAAATGTTAAATTTATCTTATTTATGAACTCAACAAACTTTTTCAGAACTCTAGTCATTTCTAATAATTTTCTTTTATTTATAAAATAAGGAATAATCTACAATTCATTGGAAACTACATGCTGTTTGCACTCTATATAATATTAATAAAATTAACAAATATTTGATGGCACTAAAAACAATCAGTTTAACATTGATAACATCAACTAAATAGTGTCGTCGTTATATTGAGGGAATCTTTTCAAGGAATCATTGACCCCCTATATAATACATTTCCAATGTGAGCATAACTTGACATCAAAGAAATATCAAAATGAGTGAATTTGAGCTTCCAAAGGTGGATTTGAGTGGTCTTGATTTAACATGTCTCCATGATAAGACATGGGCTGTGGCTAGAGCAAATATAGCTATTGCTCTAAAGAAATTTGGAGGCTTTGAGGTTGTTTATGATCAGGTTGGGCCTGAGCTTCGAGGTGGACTCTTGGGGCAAGCTATTCCAGAACTCTTTGAAGTACCGGACGTTGAGAAGCTAATTAACCCGTCGCAGGTGCCTTATCATGGTTTTCTTTTCCAAAAGGAAGGCTTTCCCTTTTTAAGTCTGAAAATATTTGAACTAAGCTCCAAAAATAATGTGCAAGACTTTTCCAATATGATATGGCCTCAAGGAAACGCATTCTTCAGGTAGCCCTTAATTTTATTTTTATTAAATTTTAAAGCATATTTTGTTGCATCATAAGAAAGTATAATTAATTAGTTTGAATGAAGCTCTGTGGATTCATACTCACCATTATCTCATTTTCTATGGTTAGCAATTTGGTTTGGAACTATGCAATTCATATGAAGGAGCTTCTACAAATGATCCATAAGATGGTTCTTGAGATATTAGGCTTGGAGGATCATTACAATTCACATATGGAATCAACAGACTATTCAATGAGATTTACAAAATATTATAATGATTTATCAGAAATAGGAACCAAAGTCGTTATGCCTGCTCATAAAGATCCAAACTATATAAGCATTATTGGCCAACACGATATTGGAGGGCTTGAAATAGAAACTTCTAATGGTGAATGGATTTCCACGACTCCAATTAAGAACTCATTTACTGTCTTACTTGGTGAAGCATTTATGGTATGTAATTGTGGACATTTTAAAGAGATTTTTAATTGTCTATCTATATTTTATTGAATATATTATACTTTGAATATAACATGTTTTTTTTCTTTTTTGATAAATAAGGCATGGACTAATAAAAGGTTCCAAGCACCATGTCATCGAGTAAAAATGGATGGATCAGAAGAACGCTATTCCATTGTTTTCAGTACAATTCCAAGTTTCGCTAATGATGTGATAAATCCCCCAAAGGAGTTAATTGATGAGGAGCATCCACTACTTTTCAAGTCCTTCAAGTATTACGATTATGTGAACTTTCGCTTTTCAGATGAAGGAGAGAAACATAAAGATACTCTGCAATTCTATTGTGGTGCTTAGCCTCCAATAGGATTGGATATATCTGAAGCATATCACTTAAGTTATGTTTGATGTTATTATCGTATTATGTCTCTAGTGTGTTGTACTATGTTGTGTTCTTAAATAAAATGAAGAGTGTTGTACTATGTTGTGTTCTTGAATAAAAATGAAGAGTGTTGTACTATGTTGTGTTCATGAATAAAAAAGAAGAGCTATCTAGTGCAATAAAGTTTTATGTTAAATAATTTTTGAGCTTATTAAGGATTATTATGGTATTCGTATGAGTTGACCAATACTCGGAATGGAAATTACAATTTTACTAATAAAAGAATAGAATATTCTAAGCTTAATTAATATATAATTAATTAAAATTATTAATATATTAACTAGAGAGAAGAATTGCTAAATTTTATTAACAACTTCTTTTAGGATGCAACCAAAGTAATTATTATGAAATAGTTTTAAGAAAATTGAATAGAATTTTCATTTCTCTGCAAATAATTTTTTAAGAATATTTCATAACATATAGAGTTCTTAACATTAAGAAGAAATAGGGGTGCTTCTTACTAAGAAAATTTAACTATTTTTACGAATATGAGAGTCACAATTCAAAATGTGATGGATGATAAATCCTTAAAACAACACAAAAGCAATTATATTAGTAATTTAGTAGCCATAATAGGTAATAAATTATGGGAAACGGAGGATTTCTGGCAGAAAATTCTAAATGTAAACAGGTAAAATCCATGTGAAAAAAATTATTTCCAACGGTAATTGAAACTCTCTTTATTGCTACAAATATTTTAATATGCGGTGTATATATATATATATGTTGTGTGTGTGTGATTGAAATGATTTTTTCATGAACGGTGTAGAAAAATGAATTTTACTTGCTTAAAGTTAAAAAGTATTTGAAAAAGAAAATAGATTTATCATGTTGCATGATTGAAATGATTTTTTTAATGAATGGAAACAAAAAAAAAAAAGATTTCTACTTGCTTGAATTTAAAAATATTTGGAAAATTAAAAAAACAATTTTAAATTTATCCTAATTAATGTTGTGTCAAAATATTAATTTGCAGTTAGAGAGAGTAAGTGACATTCGAGCGATAGTTTTCTGATGAAGGAATTCTAGTGATGACAGTCTAATAATGGAAGTTGGATGATAGTAGTAGATGGTGGAGATCGAAGTGTGGAATGTCACGTAGAGCTTTAGAATTCTTTAGATTTTTAAGTACTCTTATAATTCAAGTCAAGTATCTTTCATCTGAAGAATGAGGGTTTATGTATAGTATTTTGAGAGTAGAATTTTAAAAAACTCGATGAAAATTCTATAGCACTATCAGATAACTCATATTGAATCTTTTGATAAAAAACCAATCATTAAACATTTTAAGTATCTTAATGACATCAAAATTGAGTGCTATTAATTATTGATTTTTTTATGTTTATCTCATCGAGCTTCTCGAGCTGCTCGATTTGACTAAAAGCATGCAAAATTTGGAAATTGTTTGATACTTTAATTAATGTCCAAAAATTTTTAACTTTATTTCAAGTACATGATTTGGGCTTATTTAGACTCGAATAAGATTTCTTTTGGTGTTGTTGGGTTCATCATATCAAAACTCTTAGGGTAACTCTACTTTTGTTAAAGTTGATGTTTAGATATTCTAAATTTAATTATGCAATAGTTGTGTCTAAAATGTTATGAGAGCTTCATAAAAGTTATTGGGAGTTAATATATAGTATATTTTATTATTTTTAGATAGTGTAATTGCAAAATTTTATTAAAAAAAAACAATTTATGAAATTCTATTTTCAATTTGTTAGATATTTCTTATATTTTATTAGAATAACATTAGTTTTTTCTCCTATTTTAGTTTTTAAAATTTTTGTTCTATTTTTTGTATGATTACATGGATTTTTTCTCCTATTTTAGTTTTTGAAAATTTTTTTTTTCTATTTTTTGTAAGATTACATGGATTTATTCTATTTTGCTTCTTTATATTTATTAGTGATTGGGACTGCGAAGATATACTCTACGAACATCCCATTATTGCATTTATTTAATAGGATTTTGGCTTTGAAACTTGTAGGATTTTGGCCTTGAAACTTGCAGTGTTGGCAGTGATTAGAACTTAGCTTTATTTATAAATATTATGGAACTACTAGCTTTTTTATTTGTGTTACTAGCGGTGTCAATAAATGAGTCCACCCACCAACTCGACATAAGTCTGGGCCGAAAATTTTGGATTCGGTTGACCTATTTAATAAACAAGTTGAATTTTCGGGCTCTTTTATTAAACGGGTTGGATCATTCGAGTTAATTCACGAACCCGCTTTCGATAGAAAAATAACTTATTTAATATTTTTTTTCTTATTTATGGGTAAAATCTTCTTATTTTTTTATCAAATATCTTAAACTTTTTAGTTAATAAGTTACAAAAAAAAAAAATTAATAGAAACAGTTGATTGGCCGGGTTCAGGTCGTTCAAGTTGCTAGCGGGTCAAGTTTAAGTTGGTCTTTTCGACTCATTTATTAAATGAGTTGGATTCTTGTTAATTGGATTTAGGTTGAACCCGAATCTAACCAATTAACCCATTTTTACACCCCTATTTGTTTCAATTAAATTTTCAACTTATTTATCACTTAGCTTTATCTTTCAAACCTGTAATTTTTACCCTTTTAAAGGAGAACAATTCCTTGTTATCTTTAATAAGCAACATGTTGGAGAAGTTCTTATAAGATTTTATGTTTATATTTTTTAGGGTGGTTTATATTTATCTTTTTTTTAGATAATCAATATTATGCATATATTTTTATATATTTTTGATATTATAATTAGTTTTATTTCTTTAGTTTAAGATATATCATTAAAAAAATCTCAAATATTAATGTCATTGATATGGCAACAAGCATTTTCATAGACAACAATATTATGGTTCATTAATTTATACTAAAATCAATATGTGGTATGCCAAATTAATATTGTCTTAAGGTGTTATACCAATTCAAAATGTAGAGACAAGGTAACATGTGGATTAACGG